TCTCTCTCTCTCTCTCTCTCTCCTCTCTCTCTCTCTCTCTCTCTCTCTCTCTCTCTCTCTCTCTCTCTCTCTCTCTCTCTCTCTCTCTCTCCTCTACCGGTCTCTGTCTTTATGATGTCTCTGTCTCACTGTTTCTCCGTCTGTCTGCTACCACCTCTCTCTCTCTTTCTCTCTCTCTCTCTCCCTCTCTCTCTCTCTCTCTCTCTCTCTCTCTCTCTCTCTCTCTTCCTCTCCCCATTTCTGCCACCTCCCTGCACCTCGTCCCGTACCGTTCGTCGCCGCTCGTCGCCTCTGATCGGACCCATTCGGCGGACAGACGAGGTGCCGATGTCGGGACAGGCAGGCGCTATGGACGCTCGTCGGCGACCGACGACGATCGTGAGTGGTCGTTTGTCTCGATCGGAGGCAGGTGACGGCCACGCCCGACGGGCAACGCGTCGTGAACGGGTCGTGATCACCGACCGCTCGTCACCGCACGCCGACGGCCGTCAGGGGCCGGTCAGCTCTAACGGCAGCGCTCGGCACAGGATGGCGATGGGTGGCCACTGGCCGGCAATGTCTCTGTCCACTCGTCGGTTCACTGTTTGAGATAAAGGAGCACATTGTCTGGAAGCGCCTCCTGACAGCGTCACGCAGTTACAGTTTCCCTGTCATCCACCACCTTCCCATGGGAGTGCGGAGGTATCACTGGTCCAACACACGCAACAGCGACACGCAACATAACGGTGGATCACGGTGCGTCACGGAGCAGCATGAAACGTCACGGGATGTCACGAAGCGTCACTGTGCGTCACAGAGCACTGCGTGATGCGATCGGGCCACGCCAGCCTAATCAGCGTGGGCACTGATATATGTAATCGGCCTCTTTACGAGGACTGTGTTCACCGCAGCGTCCATCAGAGGAGTGTGACCGAATTCAGGTTTCCCGCAGAGGACGTTGGGTCGTTGCAGCTACACCTCGATTCATCAGAGGATAGTGTCGGTCTCAGCTCCCTCAGAGGATGTCTGCTCATTGAAGGATGTCTGCCTGCTCAGAGGATGTCTCCTCGGCTCCTCAGAGGACTCTGGTCAGTTCCTCTCAGAGGACTGCAGCCGACTTTGGGTTTCCCTCAGCGGGAGTTTGCTCATTGTGGGTCCTCCTCAGTTCCTCAGAGGACGCTGGTCAGTTCCTCTCAGAGAACAGTGGCTAGCTGCGCCAGTGAGCTCATCATGGTCGGGTCCGAGGAGCAGAACTCGAGGAACTCGTCCACCGTCACCACGCCGTCTCCGTTCAGGTCCATCCTCTGTGGGCATAGCAGGTCAGGTGGGTTTCAGATAGGGTTTCAGATGGGTTTCAAATAGGTTTCAACGGGAAATAGTGGGTAAACGTAGGCCAATGCCAATTGTTAAGATTCGAGAATACGCTTTACAACAGAACACAATGCAATTTGTGCAGAAGTGACTAAACGGCTCAACGAATTCGGCTGTGGCTGTTCACAGTTTCGTTATAATCTCTCTCCATGCACTCAAATGTAATTAAATGCACCTAGTCATAGATAACATGAATCATGTTATCAATGACCGAGCGAAAACCGAAGTTTTACAGCAGAAGTACAACAATCAATGCAAAAATCCCGCACGCCACACAAATCACCCCGGCTTATAGTCGCGGCGTCTCTCGCCTGCCGCGGAGCCGATACTGTGCCGCAATGCTCCGGTGCTCGGCGGGACAGCCGGCATCCGCGGCGGCCGAGGCGGCGCGCAGCGCAGCACTATCGACCGCGTACCGCGCCTGGCTGGAAATGCTGCCGGCGCTTCAAGTAGGTAATGCTATTTGTTGGATTTGAGGCATCCCACCACACCGCCTGATATCATAGCACAGACCGCTGATTGCTGTTTCCAGAGTGTAAACAGCAGAAAAATATAGTGGTGATGTTGAATTGCGTGCTTTTCAATGTAGGTAAATATCTGGAAGGTTTTCTGTTTTTACAAGTGTTTGAAATTATGCGTAAATAGCCCGGTATTAGGAGCGTCCTAACAATTCGACTGACAATAGTGTCGGGTCGGGGCCTGTGTCGCCTCGCCCTCTCCCGCGTCACCGCCGGCTCTGCCGCCCGTCGCGTCGGACCGCCCGCCCCCTGTGGCTCCGGACGCTGGCGTCGTCCGCCCCGTGGCCCGGGAAATGGGTACAGCCCCGGCCAATGGCGGGTGATCATAGTCTGATGGCCAAACGGTGTCGGAACAGTGGCGGCGGCACCATCGACAGGAGCCCGGCCACAGCCGCCGACACGGGACGACCCGCTCATACAGGGACTAACGCGGAGAGGGCGAGAGGGGTGGGCGGGCGGGAGGAACCGACGGTGGTGACCGCATCATCATAACTGGGTCTGTTGGGCGGGATTTAAATAAACATTCCTTCATTGCAGATAGCGGAAATAAAATAACGTTATAGCAATGGAGTCTGTCACACTAAACATGTTTGTTACCCGACACAGGCAGCAGGCACGTAGCTAGGATTTGGCCAAGGGAGGGGCGGAGGAATCCCGGGGGCCTCCTTTCTACAGAGGGCCTCCTTTCTAAAGGGGCCTCCTTTCTACAGAGGGTCTCATGCCTACATAATTACATATACAACATAATGCAGACTTTTGTTCAGCTTTCATATGGCCAGCGCACTGGTATGATTCCTTATTCTTACCGCTGTCGCGGTAAGAAACATACGCATATCACAAGTCTCCCAGTGGCATGGTAACTGGCAAAAAAAAAAACTCGGGCGCCGGCGGCGGCGGCGGCGGCGGCCGGACCGCAGCAGGAGGGGGGGGGGGGGAGGATTTGCGAGGAATGGATGGATACTGGATGACGGTCAGAGTACCTATAACACTTGGTGTATTATCATATATCGTTCAAGCGCTTAACCGTATTCCGGGCGGGCTCTGAAAGACTCTGAATCGGGCGGGGGCCTTTTTGGCCCCCGTCAGAACTCGAAAAGCACGAATCGTAGCGACAAACGGCAACGGCGTTTGATAGTTCGTTGAACGACTTACAACTTTTGTAAACAACTTTTTTGGGTCAGGTCAATATTGAGGTCGCCAGAGGTCATAACAAATAACATGGTTTATAACGACCTACATAGATAGGTCAACTTCAAAATCTGACCTAGGAAGGTCACGCTGGGTACCAATCGGCGCGTCATGACCAGGCGAACGGTTTGGTACACTAACAACTATCTAGCCCCATCGGCCATCATGTCGTGATTTATTGGCTAAAAACTGTTGATGACCTCACCTCACCTCAGATGATCCTTCCCGGTGCCCCTGTCAGTAAATGCCACCTGGGTGCTTACAGATCAGATAATCTGACCTGACGTACCTAATTCAGAAAGAATTAGGTGGTTTTTACTCGTTTTCTCGAAGCAGGACACAGTTCATTATATTTTCCAATAGGCTTGTCACGATTCTGACCTGACTGACGCCTGCAAGATTGAAACTATACGGTTATCAATTTTTTATGTGTGAATGATGCCACGTTTACTTGCTGTAAGTAAAACATGGTTTCGTTAGTAAATTTTCCTATGGTCCAGGTGGTTTGCTTCATTTACGCCGTAGATGAAACAAACAATCGATGGATAGGTATATAGGTATTAACTTCTCGGTCAAATAAATTATTATGAGTTGTGCGAAGCATGGCTATGCACTCAAAACTTTTTTACCACCTCCTGGAGGATTCATTTTCACCAAACCCGCAAGATAAGAGTATATTGAAAGGGTACCTCGCTGCTACCATTATATGCATGGTAAAGGTACGTGGTTCAATTGAAGTTATTCGCCAGCAAAGAGTGTTATACCATGTAAATATCAATATTACTCTCGCAATCCTAGATATGACGAAAACTCTTTCCTCTTGGGTATCGTGCCTCGTGTGCAGGTGGTCGTTTCATGCGTGGATCTTGTTTACCCTCGTGAAGACAATATTTGAAAGAGTATCAATCAGCCAATCAAAAACGAGATCGGCCTTTGAAGGTTGAAGGCCGCGCGCGCATCTGTCAGTTTTCCGTCGTTGGTCTCCGAGGGAGGGTGTGAGCAGTGTCGGTGCGGCGCCACGTGGCCGTTGGTGATTGTGCTTGTGTGCTGTTCATCGCCTATAGAGCCTCTGCGGACATTTTATTGTAAGTACCGATGTGATAGAGCATTGCGTGCTGTTGAGTGGTGCTTGTTTGATCTGGCTAACAGAACCCCGTGCACGGCCACGTGGCAGAGTGTTGTAAGTAGGTACATACATTTTGTTGTGATGCATTTTGTTGGCGACTTAGAAAAAAGCCATGCACTGTAGTGATGCAGTTTAATTATCCCACATAGACGGGCGACAATCCAGGAACGCTGCCGTTCACTTCAAATGTTGTGCGCTGTGCCTTATCCAATTCGAGGGAGCTTTATTATTATTTATATTCAAGTATTCACTTAAAGTGTTCATATTTAAGTTGCATTCAAGTTGTATCGTAATATTTATTTACCGCGTGTGCATCGCTGAACGCTTTGTTCACTGAAAACTTTTTTCCATTTCCTGAAGGGTAAACCCGCCATAGCATGGTATGCTTGACACACAGACGTTTTTTACCACCCTCCAGATGGTTAATTTTACTCTTTCATGAAGAGTAAACTCGTCAGTGAGGGGTAACGTGACACACAGACGTTTTTTACCATCTTCTGTATGGTAAACTCTTTTGATTTACTTTCGTCTAGAGGGTAACATTTTCGAAGTTACACGCCGTGGAAGGGTAACTCTTTAACTGACCCTCCTCTAAAGAGTAGCATGCCATCTACTCTGTGATTTACCCTCTTGCAGAGAGTATACCCTTTTGGCTTACCCTCAGTCAAATGGTAATGCTTACTCTTCCCCAAAGAATTTACCCCCCCCCCCAGAGGATGGTAGCTTGACACACAGACGTTTTTTAGCACCTTCCAGATGGTAAATTTTACTCTCTCATGGAGAGTTAACTCGTCAGGGAGGGGTAACGTGACACACAGACGTTTTTTTACCATCTTCTGTATGGTAAACTCTTTTGATTTACTCTCGTCTAGAAGGTAACATTTTCGAAGTAACACGCTGTGGAAGGGTAACTCTTTAACATGACCCTCCTCTAAAGAGTAGCATGCCATCTACTCTGTGATTTACCCTCTTACATAGAGTATATCCTTCTGGCTTACCCTTAGTCACATGGTGATGTTTACTCTTTCCTTTAGTGTAAACCCCCCAGAGGATGGTAACGGGCCCACAGACGCTTTCTTCAGAAGCTTCGCGAAGCTTCTGATAACCGGAGTTAATCAACATGCTTCAAGAGCAACACTATATATTTGGCATTCCGTACAAACAATACGAGGCGTTCACCAGCCATGAACATTGTGAGACTCTCCACTTATTCATACGGAGTTATAACTCCGTATGAACATCGAATGAGACTCTCCACTTATTCATACGGAGTTATAACTTGATTAAGTGGAGAGTCTCACAATGTTCATGGCTGGTGAACCCCTCGTATTGTTTGTACGGCATGCCAAATATATTGTTGCTTTTGAATCATGTTTTTAGTTGATGAACTCCGGTTAACAGAAGCTTCGCGAAGCTTCTGAAGAAAGCGTCTGTGGGTCCGTTACCATCCTCTGGGGGATTTACACTAAAGGAAAGAGTAAACATTACCATGTGACTAAGGGTAAGCCAGAAGGATATACTCTATGTAAGAGGGTAAAGCACAGAGTAGATGGCATGCTACTCTTTAGAAGAGGGTCACGTTAAAGAGTTACCCTTCCACAGCGTGTAACTTCGAAAAATGTTACCCTCTAGACGAGAGTAAATCAAAAGAGTTTACCATACAGAAGATGGTAAAAAAACGTCTGTGTGTCACGTTACCCCTCCCTGACGAGTTTACTCTCCATGAGAGAGTAAAATTTACCATCTGGAAGGTGGTAAAAAACGTCTGTGTGTCAAGCTACCATCCTCTGGAGGGTAAACTCTTTGGGGAAGAGTAAGCATTACCATTTGACTGAGGGTAAGCCAGAAGGGTATACTCTCTGTAAGAGGGTAAATCACAGAGTAGATGGCATGCTACTCTTTAGAGGAGGATCACGTTAAAGAGAAACCCTTCCACAGAGCGTAACTTCCGAAAATGTTACCCTCTAGACGAGAGTAAATCAAAAGAGTTTACCATACAGAAGATGGTAAAAAACGTCTGGGTGTCACGTTACCCCTCCCTGACGAGTTTACTCTCCATGAAAGAGTAAAATTTACCATCTGGAGGGTGGTAAAAAACGTCTGTGTGTCAAGCTACCATGCTATGGCGGGTTTACCCCCCAGGAAATGGTAAAAAAGTTTTCAGTGTGGGAATATCACCACGGTCTGATAAATGGTTTGGGTAATTGCATCCATCGTAAAAATACCAACACAGCCACAGAGGGCTTCCTCTCTACAGATTGCCTCTTATCTACAGAGGGCCTCCTCTCTGCTGAGGGTGTCTTTCTCTCCAGAGGGCCTCCTTTACAGAGGGCATCCTCTCTACAGAGGGCCTCCTCTCTAGTCTCTACAGGGACCTCCTCTCTACAGAGGGCTTCCTATCTATGTAGAGGGCCTCCTCTCTTCAGAGTCTCGTCTCTACACAGGACCTCCTCTATACCGAGGACCTCATCTCTGCAAAGGGCCTCCTCTCTTCAGAGGGTCTTCACTCTACTGAGGGCCTCCTACCTACAGAGGACCTCCTTTCTACTGAGGGAGTCCTCCTCTACAGAGGGCCTCCTCTCTCCAGACGATCTCCTCTCTACAGAGGGCCTCCTTTTTACAGAGTGCCTCTATTTTACAGAGGGCCTCTTTTTTACAGAGGGCCTCCTTTTTGCAGAGGGCTTCCTCTCTACAGGGGGTCTCCTCTCTAAGGGGGCCTCCTCTCTACACAGGGCCTCCTACCCACAGAGGGCCTCCTCTCTACTGAGGAGTCAGAGGGGCCTTAGCGGTCAGACACAGACACTAGCGGTTATTCACAGGAGATGAGAAGGGCCCTAGCTGTCACTTGTCAGGCTGGTCAGAGGGCCCTGATTGTTCTGACGTCATTTTTTAGATTCCCGGGTGAATTTCGTTCGCCTCCGACGTGATTTTGGCCAACGTGGGCCTTCGGCCCACGTTGGATTCAGGCCGAAAGGATTCAGGCCAACGTGGGCCTTCGGCCCACGTTGGCCTGAATCCTTTCGGGGGGCCTCCTGAAAACCCCAAGGGAGGGGCGGGCGCCCCCTCCGCCCCCCCCCTTGGCTACGTCCCTGTCAGGCAGACAGATTATGAGCCTTACCAAATCGCTATCCCCAAGTCCAGCTAGTTAGTTTCACAGGTCTCTGATGTTAGAGCGAAAGCCAGGCGCATTCATCTTCATTAGCGTTGAGTGGACGACGGAGAAGTAAACACGGCGGTCTAGAGCAGTTGCCGCCATATTTTTACAGTGAAAACAACGGCGGGCTTCATGATCGATGAAATTCCACATCATTCTGACGGCAAAACTGCTACCGCTTCAAATTATGGAAGTGTCTGTTAACTGAGAAGTTGCGTTATGGAATTACCAACTGATGTTCAGTGACTAGCGGAGAACTAAAATGAGCACAACGCACAATGCAGTTATTCTTTTACATAGTAGCTGAAGACGGGAAATGTGTCCATTATCCAGGTATATAAAATGTCGTTTAAATTCAACCCTGCAAAAAGATAGATGACAAGTGTGTTAAAAAGTGTTCCTGCAAGCTATAATTACTTTTAAATTTTTATATGTCCTAGCCTTTGACGCCGTTTCATCCAAAACCCTTCATCCAGTCGGTAGTTCTCACTTTTCAGAGCCAGTGAGAGATAATGTAATATTTCGGTTGAAAGGAGCCGTTTCAGCTGTTTTCAGGCGCCTCCATTCAGCCACAGCAATGAACAATGAATATAGGATGGCGAATACTGCAAACGTGAGCATGTTAAACGATTTAACTGTAAACGGAGCCATATGGCGTTCGCTCCAATTCACTTCAATGCCCTTTCGGCTTTCAGCTTTGGCTGAAAGTTATGGCGACAGTTTGGCCGGCGGCTGCCCACCTGAAAGACTTGGTCGACCCTGCCGGCGACAGCCGAGTCCTCCTGAAGCAGGCTCAGACTAACGCCGCCGAGCAGGGCGTAGATGCTGATGAAGACCGAGGTCATCTCGCCGCGCGTGATCCGGCCGTCGTTATTGATGTCGTAGAGCCGGAACATCCAGCGCAGCTTCTCCTCCGCCGTGCCACGACACAGCCGTGACAGCCACTTGAGGAACTCCTGCGGACAGACCACTGTCAGAGACTGTACCTACTGTGCCGCGACACAGCCGCGACACAGCCACGACAGCCACTTGAGAAACTCCTGCGAGATGGACCGAAAACTGTCAGAGACTGTACTGTGCCGCGACACAGCCGTGACAGCCACTTGAGGAACTCCTGCGGACAGGTCACTGTCAGAGACTGTACCGTACCGCGACACAGCCGCGACAGCCACTTGAGGAGCTCCCGCGGGACAGGTCACTGTCAGAGACTGTACCTACTGTGCCGCGACACAGCCGCCACAGCCACTTGAGCAACTCCTGAGGGAGGGACCACTGCCAGAGGCTGTACTGTGCCGCGACAACCACTTGAGGAACTCCTGAGGGACAGGTCACTGTCAGAGGCTGTACTGTGCCGCGACACAGCTGTGACAGCCCTTGAGGAACTCCTGCGGACAGACCACCGTCAGAGGCTGTACAGAACTTATAGAGGGGACACAGCCGCGACATAGCCGTGCGTGACAGCCACTTGAGGAACTCCTGACCGACACAGAATGAAAGTCAACAGTCCCACAGTATAAATGCTGCGAAACAGCTGATACTACATACCGACATCCCTCGAAAAAATCAATAATATATTTACTAATTACCAGTTTGACAAAACTGTGCCCGAAGTGTGCTTTGCGTACATTGCATGCTAGTTGATTGAAGGGTACTTTCAAGCTTCTAACAAAGTTAAGTTTAAAATTTCACTCTAGATGGGTCATGAAAAACAAAACACGAGAAGGTAGGTACGTCACGTAAATGATCATCAATGAATAGGTGTACGTTACGTTCATAAACCCACCTCAAAATTGATGACGCGGTCGGTCGAATTAATGTCGAACGTATTGAAGACGTAATGGGCGTACAATCCAGTGTTCGCTGAAAAAGAAAAAAATGGTAGTGCTTAGCTTTACACAAACATATGATCCACGCTAGTTATCACAGCCTTGTATCATTACCATAGGTATTATCGTGGTTTCTTTGGCGAATGTGTAGGTCTGAAACAGCTAACTAGCAAACTTCTTGTCGTTAGTCGTTGCATGGTAAAAAAGTGAATGTGGGACCCGCCTCTCAACCCATTCCCCATTCCCATTCCCTTACACTGCTGAGGAAAGAAGCGTGAGTAGATGTCTTTGAAGTCCTCCTCTCCAAGCACTCCCATCGGGCACTCGACCTTGAAGCCGCGGTAGATCCGTTTGACCTCGTGGGGTGAGAAGTGCGTGTCGGCAGAGAGGGAGGCCACGTCTCGCGGTCGGTACCTCCGGTCGCCCTCAAAGTCCTCCAGCTCATAGTCTGCCGGTGAAGGAGGTGGTGCGTGGTTAGAACGCTACCAGTAAGGAGTGAGTGTCCGACAATCAGCATCTGCCAGTGGGTCGCTATTGGAGAGATGCATCCAACTAGTGTGCACTGGGATGCAGGACACAGAACAGGTGATATAAAATAATACCGAAATGCTTTGGTGACGGCTGGTAAGTATCGATTGTATATATTGGCGCAGTAGTTAGGGTGTTTTAATTCTGGGTACCTTGTAGAAGTGCCCAGCTGGTGCACATATATGTCTTTTCTTTCTTATTATCCATCGCTCTCCTTTTCATTGACCGAAACTTTATGACTGCCATTATATCAAGTTTCCATTGTCATCCACTGTGGCTTTTAGCACGGACAGATGGCACCTCATGGGACATACGGAGAAAATAATAGCTGACGGGCTGTGAGTACAAACAAAATGGACCGGTAGTGACTTCTGACGAGCGAAAACACTTTCTTGCGTTAGTTCTGAGATCCTTGAGATAACGAAGACACTTTTAGGTAGCACTGTCGAAAAAGGATTTTGACATCAGTTCCCGCACGGAAACGGCCTTTTATGTGAAAACAATGTTATCATCAAATTACAAAAAACCTATTACACATAAAACATACCTTATGTAAAAAATGCTGCATCACGAATTTCAATATTATCCTATCATCAAATTGGTTAAAACGTTGTCGGATCATCGTGTGACGTTTTCGTAAATAAGCCAATGCCTTACGATGGGCAGCACTCATCAGAGAGATTATGTCGTGGTTTTTACCGGCGTCAGAGTGGAATGAAAGCTTGGCTCTGCAGTGAAGAGGCTTAACTCCCTGTGATATAAAATGAATTCCTTTGATGTTTTGTACCAACCACCGTCCCCATTAATTGAGCTTCACAAGCTCAGATGAATTTCGACAGCTCAGATGAAGCCCTGATGAATTTCGATAGCTGGGATGAGCCTCTCCGCGTCTCACAGCTCGACTATGGAAGATTGTTGAGCTCTCACTGAGTCGAAATAACTCGAGCTTTGCGAGCTGAGAGCACGCCTGAAGGGGCTGCTGTTCGCGCTGGTCTCGGAAATGACGCGGCTGTGGGAGCCGAGGACAACCCGTCCGGTTCAGTGGTGACCATTAATTTCGGACGCCGGACGGGTGCTCGTGCGATCGTGCCCCGTGACACGTCTGATCAAAACGAGCTACAACCAGCGCACGTTTTCGAATTGCCATACGGAAAGATAATTGAATGCATTTAAAAATACGTAACGTGTAAGCTGAGCAAACCTTGCACTGCCAATTCTGGCCTCACAGGCTACTCAATACTCAAACAACCACAGCCGTAAGCTGCATATCTTGCGCTTTGTTTTTAGTTCCATTGAAGGTGCAATCACAAAAAAAAAATCATGAGAAAGAAGTAGTTACATAAAGCGTACGTCAGTCATTGAGCTGGGTTCATGTGGACTCAGCCCGCTGCCCGTAACCACATTCGGTCTCGGGAGAAATGCAATCAGCCAGTCCCGAGAGAAGGCACTGGCAATTCGGTCGACAAGAATAGTTCGGGACGAAAGCTGGATTATAAGAATGTGTGGGGAAAGATGCTATATCGTTTCAATCAAAAGAGGGTCTCCGAGATTGTTCATATAATGTATCGTGCTAATTTTACCATATACGTCTGAGCTCGAAGTCTGGTAATTCAAAACAACAAAGCAAAAATAAACAAAAGTGACTGGTTCCCAACGGGCCTCAGATCAATAACTAAAACGACTCTGCTACATTCGCGCACTTAATTTGTAATATTCAACGCGTCTTTACAGCACGGAGTACGGACTATACCCGTCGACCCAGCGCCTCCTGTCTGTGATAAATGACGATGAGTGGACCTCTGAAGGCGGATCTACGTTGGGGCAAAATGGGCAATTGCCCCCCCCCTAAACGGAAAACCTCTGGGCAAACATATCTTTTTGCCCCCCCCTAAAAAACTACAACTTGAATACTAAAAATATTGTGTTTGAAAAGAAAATGTGAAATAAATGGAGGACTAGAAGGTTGTCATATTCGTGGTATTAAGTTGTGAGCTGATAAAAAGTCCTCCGCCCCATGAATGTCAGTCCATCATCCATCAGCAGTGCTACTACTGCTACTGCTACCAAAAAAAAAAAAAAAATAACGCGATTTATTGAAACCTTGAACCAAGTAAACAAACCGTCAACAGCAGACCGCCAGACGCCAGTGGGGTCAGGGGTCACCACAACTGGTGAGCGGTTGGACAGTGGTGGGTTTGCATGGGTATATAAGAAGTGTTTGCATAATATTTTATTGCTAGATAGCATGGGTGTAGGTCGTAGGAGCTGAAAAAATATTGGTGGGTCTAAATATCCATTAGTACCTAGCATTTCCACTGAACGATATGGTTGAGCTACTGCCGCTGTGTCACTCAGTGATGGCCAGAAAGAACGGTGTACTGCGTGCCTTTGAGAACAAGTGCGAGATAGGTTTCTGAGAGGAATAACGTAAAGAAGATTACCAATCGCGGCTTTTTCATGAGCCATACCGTTATCTAAAGGCAGTGGCGTATCCAGGGACCAGGATCTTGAAAAGGGGGAGGCCAAACCTGCTCAAGGGGCCCCACCCTTACCTTAGGGGCCCCAGTGCAGTGGTAGAATACTTAACCCACGCACAGGTGCGGTTCTTTGCCACTTTTGCCATGTGAGGGAGCCTTTTTAGGCACACTTGGCAATCTAAAAACTCTGAAGGCTCATTCTGGCCTCTGAAAGCCTCTCTTCGGCAACAGAATGAACGACTCTGGCCTCAGCGGGCCCCATAATGGCCTCAGGAGAGGCCCATACTATTGCTGACCTCCCAGGACCCCACGCTGGCTCTTGGGAGTCTTTGAGTCAGTCTGATGGCCCTATGCCGCTCTTGAACCCACGCCGGTCTCTAGAAGCCCATGCTGCCCTCTGTTGGTTCCGCGCCGGCTTCTAAGGGCCAAGCTCCTACCTCAGGGAACTCAAACATGCATGAGATCTGAAGTATGGCTGCCGAGGCCCTCGAAGTGGCTCTAATGGCCCAATGCCAGCCTATGAAGGCCCCGTGCTGGCTTCTGAGGGCCCAGCACCAGCGTCTGAAGTCAGATGACAGCTGGCCCCACGCTGGCCTCAGAGGGTTCACGTTGGTCATAGAGGGCCTCACACTGGCCTCAGAGGGCTCCACATTGTCTTCAGAGGGCCCCAAGCTGGTCTCAGTGGCCAGTGGGCCTCAAACTGACATCAAAAGGCCCCACGCCGCTGGGCTTAGAAGACCCCAAGCTGGACATAGACAGCCCTACACTGAACATGAGGGTCCCACACTGGTCTTAGAAGGCCCCACACTGTCATTAGAAAGCCCCACAATGGACTTAGAGAGCCCCACGCTGACCTTAGAGGGCTCCACGGCTGGCCTTAGAGGGCTGCGCGCTGGCTCCTTACGGTTCCACGCCAGCGTCAAAGGGTCCCACCCACGCCCGAGTCTAAGCTTCTGGAGGACCGCCGAAGCGGCCTCTGAGGGCCCCACGCTAGCCTCTGGGGCTCGGTCTCAGCCTCTGAGGGCTCTGAGACGGCCTATGAGAGCCCTACGCCGGCCTCTGAGGGCTATCAAACGGCAAAATTAAGATAGTTTGACGTAGTTGACTTTATTTAATGACTTAATGACGTAATGACTTTATTTAAGTTTGGCCCAATACTTCGGATAAGGCCCTGAAGGTCGTTTCTCTTGGGACACCCAAGCATGCACGTACCCAGGATTTCGCCCAGGAGGGGGCAACCTGCTCTCGAAGGGGCCCCGGGTTACCTGGGGGCCACTGACAACCCAGGCAGGGACGTATCCAGAACATTTCGATGGGGGGATTGGGCACAGTGGTCCCGGCCCCCCTTGCGGACGGGCCCCTCTGTCTGTCTGTCTCACTATCTGCCTGCCTGTCTGTCTAAGCCCTGAGAAAATGTGGAAAATTGGCAGATAAAGTATCACTTTGCCTGAGCAATGTGCACAAAATGCACGGTCTTTTATGAAGAAGCGAAGCGAGTGAGCCCCTCAGAGTCGCCGGTGTTGGTCCCTCAGACGTGTCTGTAAAAGGTCGTCAGATGCGCTGGTGTGGGGTCCACACAGGCGCCGTTGTGGGCCCTTAGGGCTTAGAGACGCTGGTAGGGGCCGTCATAGGCATGTATGGGGCCCTGAAAGTTACTAGTGGCCCTTCATAGACCGGCAAGGGAACCTCAGATGCCGGTAAGAGGCCCTCAGAGTCGCTGGTAAGTGGCCGTTAGATGCGCTGGTGTGGGGCCCTTAGAGGTGGCGGTGAGGGCCCTCCCAGGCGCCATTCTGAGGGCCCTCAGAAACACTGGTGTGGGCCGTGGGGGCATAACAAACAGGTGTGGGGCCCTTACAGCTGATCTCTCATTAGCCTTCAAGGACCCTCCCTCAGAGGCCGGCAAGGTCCTTCAGAATCTGGTGTGGGGCCCTTCTGGAGATTACACATAAGAGCCCATGACGTGTCCTCAATAGCCCCGTGGTGTCCTTTCACTCATTTCCAGTTGAAGCGTGGCCAGCGCGGACCCGCTGATGTCAATTGGCACCGTAGGGCCCCTCGGGCCCGAGGGGACCCTAAACCATATAACGGACACGTGTCCCCTCGCCCCTGGCTATGCCATTGAATCCAAGTGATCAGGGGCCCTTTAGGTAATCAGGGGCCTCTCAGGTGACTGCAGGGGCTTTTCAATTGATCAGGGGCCCACCAGGTTACCGTGACCAGGGGAACCTATGATTATAATCAGGGCCCGGTTATACCAGGGCTCCTCGGGCAACTAAGGGCCTTCATGTGACTGCAGGAGGTACTCCCCGGGTAAACATGGCCCCTCAGGTGACCAGGGCTTCTTCAGATGACTGGCCAAGGGCCATCCAGGGGTCAGGGGCCCATGGGTTACTAGGGGCCCCTCAGATACCAGGGCCCCTCAAGTATCCAGGGGCCCCTCGGGTAACCAGGGGCCCCTCGGGTAACAAAGGGCCCCTCAGGTAACCAGGGGTCCCTTACCAGGAGTCCTTCGGATAACCAGGGCCCCTCAGGTAAACAGGGGTCCCGTGACCAGGGGCCCCTCAGGTGACCAGGGGCCCCTCGGATAGCCAGGGGTCCCTTAGACAACCAGGAACCTCTCAGACAACCAGGGGCCCCTCAGATAACCAGGGGCCCCTCAGGTAAATAGGGGCTCGTCAGATAACCAGGGGTTCCTCAAGTGACCAGGGCCGGGGGACCCTCAGGTAACCAGGGGCCCCTCAGGTAGCCAGGGGCTCTCAGCTCAGGTAGTTAGGGGCCATCTGTGCTCGTCACTGATAGATATCGCCGTTTGATATTAGTTTTTCTTCCGAGTAAAATACTTTTTTTGTCTGGTACTGGAATTAAGGCAGGGAGACCCAAAACGCTTTCGTCACGCTGGTCCCCCTGAGTTATCCTTGGACCTCAGGGGCCCCCGAGGCCCCCTTGGGTACGTCACTGCACTCAAGTGACCCAAAGGGCCCACTTGCATGTCTGATCCCAAAGGGGGAGGCCATGGCCTCTTGGCCTCCCCCCTGGATACGCCACTGTCTAAAGGCCGTGTTACACTGCCGAATTTTGGCCACGACCCTGTCGCCGAATCACGTCGTGTAGGAAATCGGCGAACAGTTTAAGGCCGTGTTACACTGCCGAATTTTGGCCACGACCCTGTCGCCGAATCACGTCGTGTAGGAAATCGGCGAACAGTTTACCGACAGAGGCGAACAGTTCGCCGACAGAGCCCGATTTGCAGAAAACGGGTGGGGGGCCCCCCTAATCGTGCGCGGGTCGAAGCTGATCCATGATTCGGCGAACATCGCGAATGAATGGCGAATCTGTTGCGAATAGTCGGCGATACCTTGGCAACAAGTCGACGCACGCAGCGACATGTCGGCGGCGACTCGGCGACTGTTTGGCGATCATGTTCGTTTATTATAAATTCGGCGAACGGCCACGAAATTTTCATTTTTCATGAAATATTCGTGGCGGTCGTGACGAACCGTAAAAGTCGCGCGGTGGACACCGACTGGTCTGCGAAATGCCAAGACCGTGGAAGAAAGATCCCGAATCGGTCCGCGACATAGGATGACTTGCATATTCGTGCACACTCGTGTACCAAAATTCGGCAGTTAAAGCCCTTGTTACACTGCCGAATTTTGGTACACGAATGTGCACGAATATGCAAGTCATCATATGTCGCGGACCGATTCGGCATCTTCCTTCCACGGTCTTGGCATTTCGCAGACCAGTCGGTGTCCACCGCGCGACTTTTACGGTTCGTCACGACCGCCACGAATATTTCATGAAAAATGAAAATTTCGTGGCCGTTCGCCGAACTTATAATAAACGAACATGATCGCCAAACAGTCGCCGAGTCGCCGCCGACATGTCGCTGCGTGCGTCGACTTGTTGCCAAGGTATCGCCGACTATTCGCAACAGATTCGCCATTCATTCGCGATGGTCGCCGAATCATGGATCAGCTTTGACCCGCGCACGATTAGGGGGGCCCCCACCCGTTTTCTGCAAATCGGACTCTGTCGGCGAACTGTTCGCCTCTGTCGGTGAACTGTTCGCCGATTTCCTACACGACGTGGTTCGGCGACAGGGTCGTGGCCAAAATTCGGCAGTGTAACACGGCCTTAACGGGGACAAACACAGAAGGGCTCAGTCAGAGCTTTTGGTTTGCGAGGTGTTCGAGAAGCTCAGTATGTTGTGGGAACTTAACGCTGTTCAGTGTGATTCCGTTGGCTGTTGCGCTGTGGTCCTATGTAGTCTGTAGAAGCATCGTTTATCTCCTCTCGAAAGTAACACTTATTGTATAATTTTGCTAGCTCGCAAAGTTTAGTCCCAAAGTTAAGGAATGTTCATTGTAATTGCATCAATAAATGCAGGACCGAAAACAAATGCGCTGTTCGTCTATTTCTTGTTGGGATTCTTAATCGACTGATCTCATTTTCTATTACCGGAAACAACTGTTAATACGTTTAACTACGTGGCAACCCTGACTGCGTATAGTATCGCAGGTACGTACGCTGATGTGGCCTTTGGTCGTACTCGTGGGCATTTACACATGAACCTGCTGCTGCCACCCTTATCGGTCTCCGGATACAGAAGCCCTTGAGAACCGGCGCGGGCGGACCTTTCGGACGAGGTCTTGCCGAGGTGATGCGGGAGGTAGAGGACGGACCGTCCATAGCGCCGGTGAGCTATTCTCTAACTATCTCCCGGAGTCAGGGTGGCTGCAATTTTTTTTTTGCGCTGCCCTGGCTTGGCCGGACTGACAAAAATTTAAAAAATAAAAAAATAGTAATTCCCGAAATCCGAGGAGAAAAATAGGGGTAGCTCGTTTTTCTTTGTTCCTAAGACTGGACATTTGAAATTCTCGCCGACTTGCCTGGCGGCGCAATGTTTGCCCCCCCCCCTAAACTCAAATCCTAGATCCGCCACTGTCTGAAACAGATAAACCAAATGGGCTAACGTGATCAACATTGCAATGATGTTTGATGTTCCTCTTAACTGCTGACTTTGAGCAGAATAACAACAAGTCGTGCATGCCTGTTAGCAGTGAACAAACATTGCAAAGGCGACACAACACATTTCCTGCTTTTATGGCTATCGACCAGTGTGGGACACTCGCTTAAGTTTGCCAATCTTTGACCCACGTGTAGGGGCTACCACCAAGCTTCCTGACTTAAGCCAACAGTTGCATGCTGGGTACACGATGTCTAGGGAGCATGGAACTTCAAGGACAACCTCCCAGCGTTAATATTTATCAAATACTTGTTTGCCAAAAAGTCGTCAAATACCGTATATGTACGTTGGTACGATGGTGTCGGTGATACTGCCGAACTATAAATCGGGCCAGCCTTCTATGCCATATCCACAGATTTCCAGACCAATCGAACTCCTCGCCCTTCTAGCTATTGCTTTCAGAAACAAGTTCGTTCTTATCACAGTGTATATAAATAGTTTTTATTACCTGTGGTTACGGCATGATTGTAGTACTAACAGGTTCAGATGACTTTATTTCACACCATGTCCAGCTTCAACCATAAGCTTTAAATTCCGAGTTTATTAATAGGTGGATTGTTGTCAACTAACGCTGCGCCGTTTGTACTTTGACTTTATTTGATTCTATTTTGTTCAAATATTTTATTTTACTTGCCTCGCTTGCATGCTTTTCTCTGGACAAGTGACCAGACATCTAGAGCTGCATAAGAGTGCAGGAATCTGAAGGAGCTGGCTCGCCGGCCTCATCCACTGGCCTCCATCCGCCAGTGTCGGCTGCTGGATGTGTCCACTCCCACACCTACTCCCACGCCTTGGTGTCCGTCTCCAGCTGTCGGCGACACCAGTCGGTCTGAGCAGCCCCGCCGGCGTGAGAACCCCCCGGTCGGCGACAGTAGCCAGTCCACACAGCGCTCCACACAAAGTGGGGGCCTCGCTCGAGTGCGCGGAAAACACAATGGCAAGCCCGGGCGGTATCGATTTGAGGTCACGCCTCTGACGCCAAATGCGACAGTCGGCCAGGAGCAGTGAGCGCGATTTGGAATGTTGTACGACCGGCGAGGGCGAGGGGAACACAACAAGCGTATTGTGTAGGAAATATTGGCTTGTTGTGGCAATCGGGCGAAAGGTATGAACAATTTAACACTTTCGGGTTCACTATATGAAATATCGGCCTGTTTTTGGCAATCAGGTCAAAAGAATGAACACTATTCGGTGGGCAGAATAGGAGCAATTCGTGTATGTTTGAGCTAAAAGCTGCAGTTGACCCGTCAGCAAAACTAACGACATCATTTGGAGACTGCAATAAACACAAAAATGTCTGGCCCATGTGTCAGTGTCAGCGGGCGCGGGGGATTGTGACTTTACTTCCAGACCGTCACACCAGGCAGCGCTAGGACAAAAGTAACCATTGGACAGCGCGGCTGCTCCCTTAACCTAATCAGACCGAGTCCCGGCGATCAGCAGCTCTAAAACTCAACTCCCTGTAGCTTTGAGCACGGAAGCTCAAAGAGCTCTCGGAAAGTCCTTACATCGGGGAAACTCAAAGCCTGATGGATGGGGTCGGATGAGTCTCACGAGTGCTGTTGGTCGCGTGTGGTTGACTTATGAGTTCGATTCTGGGAAATGTCTGTGAACATTGATAATCCTGTTGATAAAAGATGAGCCTGTAATAACCCGGGCGAACATGGTGGTACACGTTGTTCGTTTCCCATTTCTACAGTCACTAGAGATTAATGCTGGCGGCCATTCCGAAGTGGAACGAACTAGCGGAAAGCAATGTAACAGGCAGGTCCCAAATGATTGCGAGATCCAAGTTACAATGCGAATTGTGCATCCCATTTGCATATAAGATTAATGCGATGCGACACACAATTCCTTAGCTAACGAGTCTCGAAATAACTAAAGATACAGTGCTGCAAAAATGTGCCACGCATTACTGGAAAGAGCATTATCAGCTCTTATTTACTTTAAATGCGCTGCGCTCACGCCTCACGGCGAGTGCCTTACTGGCTTCATCTATGAAATTCCGCAAACATTTCAAGTGAATGACAACAGACAGTGCCACATTTTTGGCGCAGGTACTGTGCCACGTCTGTGAAAATTAGGTACGAGGTAAGGTCAAGACGATGCTCTTGAGAAGAGAGGCAAAACAACCTTTTAGTTTTCCGCATATAATTGTTCTTCATCTAGTTGAAACAGGAAAATACTAAACGTAACCTAAAACAGGCGTAAGTGAAAATGAAAATCTATAGCTGCAAGCACCAATGAATACGCGTCACGATCTAGGCATAGAATACCTTTAATTTCAATCAGATTTTGAGAAAATAGCGGGCCTTGAGCGGACCGGAGCGGACCTATTAAAAGAAGAGGAGCTTAGCCATTTCAGTCGTTCCATCAAAACAGCTCAGCGTAAAATGCTAGGGCCTCATCTGTACTAAGCCGGTTTTCCCAAATGCAAGTTGGCTGTAAGCAGGCAATGAACTCGAGTGCGTCAGCGATCCAGAAACTTGGAAGAAAATCCCGTGTTTGATCTCTCAACGAAAAGATAAACACAGAAATTACAAAGACAGCATTAGCGTCTCTAAGCCCAACTTGTCCTCAGTTGTGTGAGGCATGATCAATACTCTATTCTGACGGTCCAGAGCTCACAGCAATTCTGCAGCGATGAACTCCCCGGACCCCACCCAGGCTACTCCCATTGAGGAGATCATCCGGCGCATCATCAAGAAGATCTCCACCGAGTGCCAGAGAACAGGCACCCTGGTGTCAGAGACACTAGCTGCCTTCACCATCAAGGCTGTGGTGCTCGACCCGCGCCACGGCTGCCTCCTGGAGAACATGCGCAGTGAGCCGGACGGCGACCGTCTGGTGGCACTCTGCGTTCGTCGTCTGACAGCCCGGGACTCGCCCGCCGGACAGCTGATCCGCATGCAGGTGTTCTTTGAGACCAGCTACATGCCGCGTGGTGACGTGCTAGCCGACTACGGCCGCACTGTCGAGAGCCGGCTAACGCCTATCGTGGAGGATATCGTCGCAGCCACGGCGGCCGGCGCCAGCGGGCCTGAGCTGGAGACCACGTACCGAAGGATCGTGGCGTTCACCGTCCTGGTGCATGGAATCGGGGAGCCCTCCGATGACGCCGTAGAACGCGAGGCCACCGCTGCGCTTCACAGCGTGTTCCCGCCGGCCGAGCTCGGAAACTTCCTGGCGCTGTCGGCAGACGAGAGACGCGTCCAGCTAGGCGAGTTGGCCGACATCGTCGCTGGTGTGCGTCTCTTCAACCGACACGCCGGCAAGGGCGGCGCAGGGATCGAGGACGTGCCCGGTCTGCTGGAGCGCGCCATCAGCGCCACCAGGGCAGGGATCGACCAGGAGCTGCAGCTGTGCTCCACCATGACGGCCCGCTACAACGGCGTCATCCGCAGGCAGGCGGAGCAGCATCAGGACGGTGAAGAGGACGGTGTGAAGGACACTGAGGAGCCCATCAACGACGGCGACGCGGCCGACCAGAGCCTGTCTCCGCAGTTTGTGCGTCTGTGCGCGGAGATGGCGGCTCACTACCGCCAGCTGGAGCTGTACCTGCGGCAGCTGCTGGCCGATGTGGGTCGCGTGGCCGCCCAGCTGATCCAGCTGCGTGACGCGCTGGAACGCCTCCTGAGGAGGCTGCACGGCATCATCGATACCAGCCCGGCGGTGCCTGCCTGCGTGGTGCTACCGCTGTTTGTAGAGGTTGCCGACGTGTGGCGAGGCTTCCAGGTGGAGACGGTGTGTCTGAGCACCCTGAGCACGCTTCACAGTCAGCTTCATGGTTTCATGGCGCTTTATCATGAGCGCGAGCTGGTACCCGAGGGCTGGCTGGCAGAACGACTCGCAGACGTAGAGGTCATCACGGACGCCGAGCAATTCGAGAGAAATCAGCGCGCGATGGCCGAGGCCGCTGCCACTGAAGACAAAGAAGAAGCCTCCATCAGCGAGGACACGCCGAAAGAGGAGGAGGACAGCTCCCGCGCTCGGGTTCTGGCCGTGGACCGGCTGAAGAACCTCACTCAGCTGCCGGTGCAGTACAACCGGTTGTGTCCGGTGGCTCTGGTGGACGGCGGTGGGCAGCTGCTGGTCGGCGACCACCGCCTCGGCCTGGTCTACTACGACGAGCGCTACTTCTGCTGCAGCACTCCGGCAGCGTTGGCCGCGTTCGCCGCTCGGCCGGAGCACTACACGGCCGCCGTGGAGCAGCGCGCGCGCCGGCACGCCGAGCTCATCCACCTCCTGGACCTGGAGGAGGCGCTGACGGAGCGGCCGCGGCCGGCGCCGGAGCCCGTCCTGCTGGCGGAGCGGGCCGTCCAGACGGAGCTGCACCCCGAGCCGGTCGCCGTCGACCCCGAGTACTCGTGGAACGAGTGGACCATGCGGCGGCGCGCGCTGCTGCTGGCTGACCTGCGCCGGCGGCGGACCAGCGGCGCGCAGACGGAGCGCAGCCACCTGCGGCGCGACGCCACCAGCCAGGTGTACCGGCCGGCCGGCGCGCAGACGCAGACGCGGCGTGACGCGGCCACCAAGGTGCCGCAGAGGCGCTCCTATCTGCACGGGCTGCGCGGCGCGCCGGACTCCCAGCACGGCACCGTCGACCTCACGCCGGCCATCGATGAGGAGCCGTGAACGGCATGGCATTGGAAGGCAGGCATTGGAGTGGTGACCGACAGTCAGTCCCTGATATAGTCCGGACTGGAGATAAGGAGGGGGAGGAAGAGCAGCGTTAAGCCTAATGGGCGGCTCTGTATTAGACGGGGACACTAAATTAGATGAATATGGAACACCCATTTATGAACGCCTTCGTGCTCAAGCTTAAGCCATCTATAAAAGAATGAATAAATGGAAGTGAATGAGAAAATAAATAAAGAATCTAACCAAAATGAGCCATGTTAACCCGCGCCCCGTTGGGCTCTGCCGAGCAACGCGCCCGTTGGGGGGGGGGGGGCATTTTGGCCCCCCCCCCTAAGATCTCGAGAACCACACAACGTAGCGACAAGCGGCAAACGGTGTTGGATAGCCCTATCAGGGAACTACCTTGTGACCCAATTTTATTGACCTAGGTCAAACCGATGACGTCACAGGTCAGGTCAAAGGTTCAATTTTCACCGTTTACAGGCATTTCAAGAAATGCGCTGTAAAATCGAGTAAAATGCATTTCATTGAAAATCATCGATGGGGAAATGTTCTTCAAACACATATTTTGCTAGTTGAGGTCACTGATACCAGGTCAGGTCTGAGGTCACAGAGGTCAGGTCACTGGGGGGTCACAATATGAAAGGGTCGTGTGATACATGTTTTATGGTCCATTTTACATGACAAATGCGATTATGTGGGTCAGGCAGCCTTTGGGGCCAGCTTAGGTCACGTTTTGGTCAAGGTCAGGTCAAGGTCAGGTCAAATTAGGTCAAATTTCAAAGTTGATATTTTTGCATAAAATGGGTATCGAATCGATGCAGCTTGTCACGGGGAGTTCAATGGTGGTCTTTGTTTTGCCGTACGAGGTCTAGAATCGCTAAAAATTGAGTTCAAAAATTTGACGTCATCATTTTTGAACAGTTTTTTCGCTATAACTTGGCCAAAAAACGAGCTATCGATCTAAAATTTGGTTTGTATATAGAAGAGCGCAGGTACTATCACATATATTCCGGTTTTTTCGAAATTCGGAAAAATTTTGGATTTTTTTTTAGTTTTTCAAAAAAAATCAGTTTTTTGAAATTTTTTGGGTCAAAAACCCAAAATTCTGAAAATCCGAGATAGCAGTTTTGTAGCGCCGCTTTTTGTCTACTAGACCATATAAAGAACTTTGAAATTGCTTAATAACTGTAGATTTGGTGAGCGTTTCAAGATTGCATGTTTTTTGCTCATTTTTGCTCGAACATGACCTCAGTTTGACCTCAATAACTCCTGACCTAAGGTGACCTAAGACTTGAAATTTGGTGTGAAGGTGTCAAATTGATGCCCGGGAAGGTACTGAAAATTTGGCGGCGCTGCGCGCCGCCGTTTTCTTGCTATTCAGGAAAAACCACAGGGGGGGGGGGGGGGCCAAAATGGCCCCCCCAACGCACGGTCTTGCCGAATACCAGATTAGCGCGAATTTAATCAAAAACCCGACTTTCGATAAACTGTTATTTATACCTATCAATGGGTAGGAAATTGTCTGAAGTTATCTGATAGAACCTTATTTTTAAGCCACTTTACCATTTGAGGACTTATATCCCTGCCGAAAGTAGACCCACGCTCCGGTTCCTAAAATCGGGCTATGGTACTGATAAATATGTCCAGTTTTCAACGTAAATTTTACGGAAGTTTCGAGAAGATATATGAGAAAATAGCATATCACCGGATAGCACAATTCATGATGAAGCTGTTTCTGCTATCATGGTAGCTTTTCAATGAATGGTTTTTGAGTTTAATGAGTTAGAACAAGAGCCCTGCATGTGTATCGTTCTCACGATAGTATTTAATAAAGAAGTTGAAAAATGTCAAAATGGATAAAAATGGATATGACGAATAGGGCATGGCTGAACTCTCCGCACCTTTCTGAACATAAGCGAGCAAGTTTCAGCTGCCAGTTTTTGCCTATTTGCCGTCAACTCAGCTTTGAACATGTCTAGTCGGCCGCCCTATGTGACCTGACCAAGGTCGGGGGCGGCGCGGCCGGACAGGCTCCAGCCTAATAAACTATCTCAAGCACACGAAATCGTGATTTCATGCACTCCTTGCAAGGTCCGATGCTTCACCTATGCATTGTTGGTCTTACGTGACGTCATTTATGACGTCACTAGGGTAATAAGAGTTTTTCGTCAATAACTCCCGATTAAATTGAGCTAGCGAGTCGAGAAAGCCACCAATGGACTCAGGAAGACTTGCTGAATCGAATGATATGCAACATGACCTCCTTCAACCAACTTCGTGATCTGGAGGACTCTGACCTGACCTTGACCCACGGTCAACACCTGAAGTTAACTTCAGCCGAACAAAAAGTATACCATTCGACGCGCCTGAGTGAGGCGAACATGATGATACCAAAATTGCGGCTCTGCGGCATTTTTTCGCGAAGTTATTAATAAAAAATGAATCCGCGCCTGGGTCACTTGACCTGACCTCAGAGGTCACAGGTTGGCCTAAGACCTTAAAATCGGGTACCAGTCGCTGCGTCTCGTAACGGCGCACACGCTCGTTTTTTCCGCGGGGCTCTAGCTCCATCAGGGGCGAAACAGCGACGGGGGTCGTACCAACCCCCCCCCCCCCTTCGGCCGGCGCGTATTTTGAAAACCAATAAGTCCGGCGAGGGGTAAGTGTCAGTTTTGGAACCAGAGAACCATTTTCAGTGGATCCGAGGAGCGCTGGGATTAAATTCGCGCTAAACTGGTGTTCGGCCACACTGTGCAACGGGGCGAGGGTTAAGCTGAAAATTACCTCGTTAGTCGTTAAATTCCAGAGAAACTCAAACGGTAAAGATGAATGTCAATACGGTAACTGCACACCATTTTCGGCTAGTGCGTTTCGTATTTCGCAAGGTTGTTGTTTTCTTTGCATCACTTTTATGAAGGCTCTTTTGTTGAAGTAGGCCCTCGTGGGGCACGGGTAAAGAGATCCTGTTTGTGTGAAAAACGACACTAATAAGGCTTGATGTGTGCTCAGCACAAAAAGCAACTAAAGTAGATGATAAAAGTCTGCAATTTCTAAATATTTCATGCAGGGCTGCGGAGTCGATGGATTTCAGGGTGACTCCGACTCCGATTCCGACTCCGGACGGTTCTATTAAAATTCTTATCATGGTATTGAAGTTTATAATGGAGATGTTTTTATCTTGCCTGAAACGATCGCTTGTGCATTTTAAGGCTTTGTGTTGCAAATATGCATTAAAAATAGCATGCAGAATTAAAAAGCAGGTTCTGGGGCATTCGCCTTCTTCTACTTTTTTCGCTGAAAACGTTCGTCCAATACAGCAAAATGGCCTTTTTTCGACAAAAGCTAATTTCGAGCGCAGCATCGTCAATCAAATAGGTGCAGTGCATGACGACCCATGCGGCATTTACTACGACTCCGGAGTCGGAGTCGGTAAGATTTTGGTGACTCCGACTCCGACTTCGACTCCGGGCAGAACTGTCGACTCCGGCCGACTCCAACCCCGACTCCAACTCCGACTTCGCAGCCCTGATAACATGTATGTACTTTGAAAGAAATGATGCAAGAAAGAAGGATATAGGGAGTTATTGACGAAAAACTAATATGACCCTAATGACGTCATAAATGACGTCACGCAAGGTCAACATTGCAAAAGTGACGCATCGAACCTTGCAATGAGTGCATGAAATCACGATTATGTGTGTTTGAGATAGTTGGAGATGGTTTCCGGCGCCAGAATAGCAATTTTTTCATTTTTCTTCATTGACTCATACCTAACCCGCGCCCCTAAAATCTCGGAAATTTACCGGCCGATTTTCAAAATTCAAACAGCGTGTTCGATAGCCCCACCGGGGAACTACCTTGTGACCAAATTTCATTGACCTTGGTCCAACTAATGACGTCACAGGTCAGGTCAAAGGTCGGATTTTCATCGTTCACAGGCATTTCAAGAAATGTGCTGTGAAATCGAGTAAATTGGTATTTAATTGAAAATCATCGATGGTAAATTGTTCGCCAAACAGATACTTTGCTGTCTGAGGTCACTGATACCAGGTCAGGTCACAGAAGTCAGGTCACTGGGGGTCACAATATGAAAGTGTCGTGTGATATATGTTTTATGGTCCATTTTATATGAAAAATGCAATTATGTGGGTCATATCCTTTGGGGCCAGTTTAGGTTAAGTTCTAGTGAAGGTCAGGTCAAGGTCAGGTCAAATTAGGTCAAATGTCAAAGTTGCTATTTTTGCATAAAACGGGTATCGATTCAATGCAGCTCGTCACGGGACACGGGGAGTCTAATGGCGGTCCTTGTTTTGCGCTACGTGGTCTACTAAAATTGCCAAAAATTGAGTTTGCAAATTTGACGTCATCACTTTTGAACAGTTTTTTTTTTCGCTAGCACTTGGCCAAAAAAGACATATCGATCTGAAATTTGGTATGTAGATAGAAGACTGTAGGTACAATCATTTCTATTCCGTTTTTTTCGAAAATCAGAAGAAAAACTTTTTGATTTTTGGCTAATATATCTAAAAAAATACTTTTTTATTTTGGGGGTGAAAATCCAAAAATTTCAAAAATCCGAGATAGCAGTTTTGTATCCCTGTCAATTCTACACCTTTAATATGTCTTGATCATTTTTCTGTGTCTTCAAAGCCGTAGGCCTGACCGCTCTTCTCGCGGAACATTTTTTGGGTCGAAAATGGCAGAATATGACGTCATTCTGACGTCATCTGTGGCCAACCTATCATAGCCTCTGGAAAAATGTTTGGTGACAATGAGTAAAATAGATGTCCGGAGGGGTCCTTCAAGTTTGGTGGCGATATCTGCAGCCGTTTAGGAGATATCTACGGAAAAGGACATGGAGATGGTTTCCGGCGCCAGAATAGCAATTTTTTCATTTTTCTTCATTGACTCATACCTAACCCGCGCCCCTAAAATCTCGGAAATTTACCGGCCGATTTTCAAAATTCAAACAGCGTGTTCGATAGCCCCACCGGGGAACTACCTTGTGACCAAATTTCATTGACCTTGGTCCAACTAATGACGTCACAGGTCAGGTCAAAGGTCGTTTCACCCCCCCCCCCTACTATGGGGCGCGGGCTAATGGTGAAGTCACGAAAATGACTTGACCTCATATGACCTTTAGGAAAAATCTGAGATATACAAGTTGAAGACTCTTCATGGATACTGGGTCCTGCAAGCTTCATTTCCCCGTGAAAGCTCCCC